TGCTACATTTCTAATGTGTGGACTCAGATGCCCTTCCTCCCCTGATTGGGAGGGATGGAGATTGGCAGCCCCTTGTGTTCAGTGTACATGGAAAGAATGAATCTAGCCTTGGGGAAAGGGTATTATAGGCAGGAAAAGTTTAGTAGGCAAAGGCACTAAGGCTGGAAAGCACAGAACCTTTTCCAGGACCTGGGACCATTTCACCTGTGCTGGATTGTAGGATGTGTATAGGGTTGTGGGCAATAAGACTGAGGGGTAGGGTGGGCCTTGAATGACAGGAAGAACCTTGAAAGCTTGAAGATCTTGGCTTACTTTAGTGGCAGTAGGAAATCCTAAAGACTTTTGAGCAGAGTAGTTACCCAATTGGATTAGATTTGTAGAAAGTCAAGAAGTCTAGCCTGGCCGGTGTGGTTCAGTGGTTGAGCATTGACCCATGCACCAAGAGGTCTCCAGTTCAATTCCCGGTCAGGGCACATGCCCAGGTTGTAGGCCAAATCCCCACTGGGGGGGCATGCAGGAGGCAACCAATCAATGTTCTCTCTCATCAATGTTCTCTCTCATCAATGTTTCCATCTCTCTCTACCTCTCCCTTCCTCTCTCTCTAAAATCAATAAAGAAAGTCAATAAATCCAGATCTCTGTAGGAAGACCAGGTGGACAGATGGAAGACTCTTGTACCAGCATGGTCTAATTATATGTCCCTAGACAAGGGGTTCTCAACCAGGGGCAGTTTGGCAATACCTGGAGTCAATTGTGTTGTCACCACTGGGGGATGCTAATGACATCTAGTGGATGGAGGTCAGGGATGCAGCTAAACATCCAGAATGCACAGAACACACACCCAGCCCCAACAAAGACTTGTCAGCCCCAAATGTCAATAGTGATCAGGTTAAGCAATCTTGCTCTAGAGTGAAAGTAGTAAAATTTAACCAGAGACAGTGTCAGAAACATCTCATCAAAAGACACTCTTAGTCGTCTTTGTATTCTTTATAATGCTTAAGTACTTGATAATGCTGTCAATCAGTTCTCATGACCCCAATCTTCCTTGTATTTTTTCACCCACACATTTATTTGCCAAATATTTATTTAGTACCACACCTTACTTGAGATCCTGTGATTCAGCAATAAACAAATAAAATTCCCTGCTCTCCAAGAACCTTACATTCTTTCAGAAGATGACAGATATTAAACCTATAAATACATATCACAAGACTGCTTTCATGGTATTAACATGTAGTTAGTTATAAGGACTACGTTCAGAGATTTCAAAGAAATTGTCAGCCAGAACGGGTGTTAAGAATGAAAGACTGCCCTGGCCAGGTGGCTCCGTTGGTTGGAGCGTTGTGTCATACACCAAAAGGTCAGAGGTTTGATTTCCAGTCAGGGCACATACCTAGGTTGTGGGTTTGATCCCTGGTCAGGGAGCATATAGGAGGCAACCAATCAATGTTTCTCTCTCACATCAGTGTTTCTCTCCCCCCCCCCTTTTTTTTTTTAAATCCTCACCCGAGGACATTTTTCCATTTTTTGTTCAGATAGAGTGGGAGGGAGAGAGAGGAAGAGAGAGAGAGAGAGAAACATTGACGTGAAAGGGACACATCGAGTGGCTGCCACCCACACGACCAACCAGGGCTGGGGACAAACTGTAACCGAGGTACGCACCCTTAGCGGGAACTGAACCCGGGTCTCTCTGGACCGCAGGCCGACGCTCTAACCTCTGAGCCAAACCGGCCAGGGCTCTCTCTCCCTTTATCTCTAAAATCAATAAAAACTTATCCTTGGGTAAGGATTTTTAAAAAATTATAAAAGAAAAGAATGAAAGACTGAAGTAATTCAAGGTTTTCAAATGGATTTCACCCATGTTCAAAAATCCAGTTCTTTTACTCTAGTCACTATGCAAGTCACTTCCCCTATGATAGTAGGTATGCCTTGGGGCTGCCAGGAAATCTAGACTTTACTTGCAGTTCCCAGTAATCCCAAACTTATGAAAAGCTGTATAGTGCCACTAGAATAGCCAACTATACAGGAAATGCTTAAACAGTTTCAGAAGATGTTTTAGGCTAACTACCTTACCACAGGGTTACTTGCTAGAGTCTTATGTTCTTCACAAGAAAAAATGCTCAGTACTTTTCTTTGACTCTACCAAGAAAGTCAAGCCAAGGATGAGCAGCAAGACTGCAAGAAAACTGGAGCTGATAATGGTGAAAGCAAGGATTTGCCCATGATGAAGTCAGAGATGAAATGGGCACTCTAGCCCAGAGACCCAGAAGTTTTGGGTTCCCAAACTGGCTGGTATAGAAGAGGTGGCAAGAGGAAAGTAAAGTGGAATAAGGAGGCTTGAGGGATCCAGCTCTTGCTTTGGCTGTGACCACTTTAGGATGAGGAGCCCCCATAAGTGTGTGAAAAGGGTGACTGTAGGCTTTGGCCTACTTTGGGTTGCCGTGAGAATATCTGATCCAGTGTATAGAAAGTGGTTAGGCTTCCTTGGAAAAAAGGAATAGTGTCAATTGAAAAATTCTATCAATTAGTTAAAATGTAAGGGAAAGAGGTATAGAAACTATATGAAGGGCCCCAGTAGTTAATTTATAGAGGGAAAACCTGGCTTTTTAATGAACATCTGAAGTGCTGAGCCAAACCAAGAGGGTAATGGTACACATTTAAGGAAATCTATAGATTGGGGGTGTTGCCTTTTGTACAACGTACTTCAAATTCATTCTTTTTTTTTTTTTTAATCCTCACCTGAGGACATTTTTCCATTTTTTGTTCAGGTAGAGTGGGAGGGAGAGAGAGAAACATCGATGTGAAAGGGACACATCGGGTGGCTGCCACCCGCACGACCAACCAGGGCCGGGGACAAACTGCAACCGAGGTACGTGCCCTTAGCGGCAACCGAACCCGGGTCTCTCCAGACCGCAGGCCGATGCTCTAACCGCTGAGCCAAACCGGCCAGGGCTCAAATTCATTCTTAAGTAGGTAAGTGCACTATAAGACTGTTAGGCAATGAGAGGCAGACACTAAGGTAACAGAGATGGTAACTGTAGGAAGCAACTACCACAGTTGGTGTTGAGAGAACATAAGGAAAAGTTGGGTTTATCAGAACTTGGATGCTTGGAAGGGAGGCCCTGCAGATTTGGGACTCAGGTCTTAGAGGTTGGTAGCTAGGAGATGCCACCAGACTGGTGCTGATATTTCTGAGGCATCCAGTGAGACTGGTTCTGGTAGACAATGTCTAATTCATTCATTGATTTATATCTGCGTCCTACTACAATACCTAACACATTATAGGCAATCAAATATCTCTTGAATGAATGAACAAATGTATTCTGCAATTTCTTACCTGTCTACTACAGACCATCTGGAGTAGCTGACAAGCAAGTCAGTTAATTGTTGGGAAGCTCCAGTACTCTGTTCCTTTTTTTGCTCAGCCGACTAGAGAATAAAGCAGTTTGGAGGGTGGGGACAACCTAAAAATGCAAGAAAATCAACAGTTGCATCACTGTTCCCCAGGCCACAGCAGACTCAGGAGTGTGAGGAGGCTGCTAGTCGAGCATTTCCACTTCCTTAGAATTTTGCTTGACTTTCAGTGGCTATCGTCATTTATCAATTCCAATTTCTTCCAGTTGGTATGCAAAGCCCTTCAGTAATCAATCCACTCGGGCTATCTCTCTCTTCTGGGCTATAACTCTCCAATAAAGTCAGGCTGTCACAAAGGTCACATGTAAGCCCAAATCTTTGCCTTTTCCCTGGATTTTGGAAAATGTAATTTTTTATATTTATTTATTTTTTTATTAATTAATTTTTGTTACAGATGTTTCTTTTTCCCCCACTGATTCCCCCCTCCCCCTCCCTCCCTGCCCTTTCCCCAGTTTCTTGTCCATGTCCATTGTTCATGCATATAAGTTCTGTGGTTTATCTCTCCCCCACCACCACCCTCTTTAGGGGATTGTCAGTCTGTACCCCACTTCCACATCTCTGGGACTAGACTACCCCATTCCTCAGACTGTTATGTTCATTATATTCCACAAATAAGTGAGATCATATGAAACTTGTCTTTCTCTGTTTGGCTTGTTTCACTTAGGATGATACTTTCCAGGTCCCTCCATGTAGTCTCAAAGGATAAGAGATCTTTCTTTCTTACAGCTGCGTAGTACTCCATTGTGTATATGTACCACTGCTTTTTTATCCATTCATCTACTGATGGACACTTGGGCTGTTTCCAGATCTTAGCTATTGTAAATAGTGTTGCTACAAACATGGGGGTACATATATTCTTTCTGATTGGTGTTTTAGGCTTCTTAGGGTATATTCCTAGAAGCGGGATCACTGGGTCAAATGGAGGTTCAATTTTTAATTTTTTTGAGGTAACACCATATTGTTTTCCATAGTGGCTGCACCAGTCTGCATTCCCACCAGCAGTGTGCTAGAGTCCCCTTTTCTCCACACCCTCGCCAACACTTGTTGTTTGATGGTTTGTTGATGGCGGCCATTCTGACAGGTGTGAGGTGATACCTCATTGTTGTTTTAATTTACATCTCTCTGATGATTAGTAATGATGAGCATTTCTTCATATGTTTCTTAGCCATTTGTATGTCCTGTTTGGAGAGGTGTCTATTTAGTTCCTCTGCCCATTTTTTAATTGGATTTTTTGTCTTCCTTTTGTGGAGTTGTATGAGCACTCTATATGTATTGGAAATTAACCCCTTATCTGATATATCATTGGCAATTATGCTCTCCCATACAGTGGGTAGCCTTTCCGTTTTGATGATTGTATCTTTCACTGTGCAGAAGCTTTTGAGTTTGATGTAGTCCCATGTGTTCATTTTTTCCTTTGTTTCTATTGCCTTAGGTGATGTGTCGGTAAAAATTCTACTGCGTATGATGTCTGAAATTTTGTTGCCTACAGTCTCTTCTAGGATTTTTATGGATTCATGAGTTACATTTAAGTCTTTTATCCATTTTGAGTTTATTCTGGTGTAGGGTGTAAGTTGATGGTCTAGTTTCAAAAATATGGAAAACGTCACGAATTTGCATGTCATCCTTGCGCAGGGGCCATGCTAATCTTCTCTGTATCGTTCCAGGAAAATGTAATTTTTGCCTCTGTGTGGAGCTGACGTAAGTATGTGACTCTGGGAACCGGTTTGCATAGCTTGTTATAAGGACCATGCTCAAGGACACTGTATGCAAGGAAACGTAGAGTGGCCCCAGCAAGGCTCAAACTGGGGAAACTCTGAAGTATATTCTTTTTGTATTTAATCTTTAAAATAAATTATATGTCTTGCCCTGGCTGGTTTCGCTCAGCAGTAAGAGTGTTGGCCCACAGACCGAACAGACTCTGGTTTGGTTCCCATTGAGGGCGCATACCTCGGTTGCAGTTGGCCCTGGCCCCGGTTGGTCATAGGGGTGGCAACCAGTTGATGTGTCTCTCTCACATCGATGTTTCTCTCTCTCTCCATCCCACTCTCCCTCCCGCTCTATCTGAAGATACATGCAAAAATGTCCTCAGGTGAGGATAAAAACTAAACAAACAAACAAACAAATATTTCTCAATGTGTTATCTTTGTTACCTTTCTTTTTTTTTTTAATCCTCACCCGAGGATATTTTTCCATTTATCTTCAGATAGAGTGGGAGGGAGAGACAGAAAAAGGGAGAGAGAAAGATCGATGTGAAAGGGACACACTGACTGGCTGCTTCCCACACGACCCTGACCAGGGCCGGGATGAACCACAGTCGAGGTATGTGCCCTTGGCCAGAATCGAACCCAAGACTCATTGGTCCACAGGCTGATGCTCTACTGCTGAGCCAAACTGGCCAGGGCTCAATGTGTTACCTTTCTAATTGAACAAACATATTACTATACAAGTGGTGAATGCATATAATCCTTAAATTATAAAGGTTTGCTATAGGAGTGAAACTATTTTTTAATTCTCACCTGAGGATATTTTTCCACTGATGTTCAGAAAGAGTTGGAGAGAGAGAGAGATAGACAGACAGAGAAACATTGATGTGAGAGAGACACATCAATTGGTTGCCTCCTGCATGATCCTAACCAGGGCCGGGGAGCAAATTGCAACCAAGGTACATGCCTTTAACTGGAATCGAACCTGTGACCCTTTGGTCCACAGGCTGTTGCTGTAACCACTGAGCAAACAGACCAGGGCGTGAAATTATTATTTATGTAAATTCCTCACATTTTGGATTTTATTCCTTTTCTGTTGTTGTTAATCCTCACCAACGATATTTTTTTCTATTGATTTTTTAGAAAGAGTGGAAGGGAGGGGGAAAGAGAGAGAGAGAGAAACATTGATGTGAGAGAGACACATCAATTGGTTGCCTCCTGCATGGACCCTAACTGGGGCTGGGGATCAAACCTGCAACCTAGGTACATGCCCTTGACCAGGAATTGAACCCATGGCCCTTCGGTGTGAGGGCCGATGCTCTAATCACTGAGCAACACTGGCCAGGTCAAGGATTTATTCTTTTTAACATATCTGTAATTTCTATTCTAAATATGCTGCAATAGAAAATGTAGGAGTCAATAACATATACAATGAAATCTATTAATCCTAATCTTTTTAAAATAATGTTTTTATTGATATTTTAGAGAGAGAGGAAGGAAAAGAGAGAAACATCAATGTGATAGAGATACATCTATGGGCTGCCTCCTGCACCCCTCCTACTGAGGATTGAGCCCACAACCCGGGCATGTGCCCTGACCAGGAATCAAACTGGGACCTCTCAGTCCATGAGAGGATGCTGAATCCACTGAGCCACATCGGCCAGGCTATTAATTCTAATCTTAAGATTTAAAAAGTAATCCTCACCTGAGGATATTTTTTTAGTTTCTAGAGAAAGAAGATAGGACAGAGGGGTGGGGAGGAGCAACATTGACCAGTTGCCGCCTGTACATGTCCAGACTGGGAATTGAACCCGCAACATCTATGGGATGATGCTCTAACCAACTAAGTCACCCAGCCAGGGCTGAAGTATATTCTTCTGTCCTGCTTCTGCTTCCCCTTCTTCACCCAAATTCAGAAAAATAATTTTTTTTTTGTCTTTGACATAGAATGTGCATTCTTCTTTGCTCATATTTAATTTCTCAAAAAGGTTGGGACCATGTCACTTTTCACCATAGCTTAGCCAAAATACTAATAGTTCATGTACATAGGCCAAGGACCATGGACAATGTACCAACTTTATACCACTTCATATACATAGGTATTTCACAAAAGCTTAAGTATTTATGCCTTGTTTTAGATTGGTAGGTTTTAGATTTTGTCCTACACTCTTCAAACCCAGCCTCCTGCAGCCCCTGCCATTTTCCTTACACCTACCATCTCCATTCTTGGTGATAGCTCAAACCTTTCCCAACCCAATTCTATACCTCCTTTCCCCATTTCCTGCCCCTGATTCAGTCTCTGTACGTCCTCTTGCACTGAAGCAGGTTCTACACTTACATCCTCATCAGGACCCTACAGGCTTCAACGTGAGTATAAAGTTTGTAACTGAGAAAACTACAACCAAAGGCCAAGGAAGGAGAGGGAGAAACGCCTTTATTTATTTATTTATCCTCACCCGAGGATATTTTTCCATTGCTTTTTATTTTTATTTATGTATTTATTTTATCCTCACCTGAGGACATTTTGCATTTATCTTTGGATGGAACAGGAGGGGGAGAGGGAGGAAGAGAGAGAGAGAAACATCGATGTGCGAGACACACACCGACTGGTTGCCACCCACACGACCCCAACTGGGGCCGGGGACAAACTGCAACCAAAGTACATGCCCTTAGCAGGAACCAAACCCAGGACTCTCTGGTCCTCAGGCCGACGCTCTAACCGCTGAGCCAAACTGACCAGGGCTCCATTGCTTTTTAGATAAAGTGTAAGGGAGAGAGGGAGAGAGAAAGAGAGAAACATTGAGGTGAGAGAGACACATCAATTGGTTGCCTCCCATATGACCCTCACTGAAGCCTGGGATCAAACCTTCAACCCAGGAACATGCCCCTGACCAGGAATCGAACCCACAACGCTTTGGTCTGTGGGCTGACACTCTTAACCGCTGAGCCAAACCGGCCAGGGCAGAAACACCTTTATTTTAATCAGAAATAATAATGCTTATAGTTCTGCACAGCAAAAGATATAATCATGAAAATGGAAAGGCTACCCACTGTATGGGAGAGCATCATTGCCAATGATGTATCAGATAAGGGGTTAATTTCCAATATATATAGAGTGCTCATACAACTCAACAAAAGGAAGACAAAGAACCCAATTTAAAAATGGGCAGAGGAACTAAATAGACACCTCTCCAAACAGGACATACAAATGGCTAAGAGACACATAAAGAAATGCTCAACATCACTAATCATCAGAGAGATGTAAATTAAAACAACAATGAGGTATCACCTCACACCTGTCAGAATGGCCGCCATCAACAAATCATCAAACAACAAGTGTTGGCGAGGGTGTGGAGAAAAGGGGACTCTAATACACTGCTGGTGGGAATGCAGACTGGTGCAGCCACTATGGAAAACAATATGGTGTTACCTCAAAAAATTAAAAATTGAACCTCCATTTGATCCAGTGATCCCACTTCTAGGAATATACCCTAAGAAGCCTAAAACACCAATCAGGAAGAATATATGTACCCCCATGTTCATAGCTACACTATTTACAATAGCTAAGATCTGGAAACAGCCCAAGTGTCCATCAGTAGATGAATGGATAAAAAAGCAGTGGTACATATACACAATGGAGTACTACGCAGCTATAAGAAAGAAAGATCTCTTATCCTTTGAGACTACATGGAGGGACCTGGAAAGTGTCATCCTAAGCAAAACAAACCAAACAGAAAAAGACAAGTTTCATATGATCTCACTTATTTGTGGAATATAATGAACATAACAGTCTGAGGAATGGGGTAGTCCCAGAGATGTGGAAGTGGGGTACAGACTGACAATCCCCTAAAGAGGGTGGTGGGGGGGGAGAGATAAACCACAGAACTTATATGCATGTATGCATGAACAATGGACATGGACAACAAAGCTGGGGAGAGGGTGGGGAGGGAGAGGGAGAGGGGAATCAGTGGGGGGAAAAGGAGAAACATCTATAACAAAAATAAATTAATTTAAATTTTAAAAAAAAGAAAAATATATTGAAAACCTAAAAAAAAATAATGCTTATAAACTTGTAAAAATTGTTTAATAAGAGAGAAAAAACCAGGAACTGGGTGATGGCAAATGAGAAATATTACAAAATTAACCTAGATATTACTATTGCTAAAAGATTAGGTCACTTGGATTTAGTATTACTCAATGGCTTAACATATACTTCCATTCCTTTGTTCCCCTTTTGGTGGTGGCTGCATTGCAGAATAGTCATCTGCTGTGAAGGTCACAGTAGTATATTAACAGTGGGTACCTAGAGGTCAATTGCTGGTGTAGAACAGATCCAGGCTATTAAAATTCTAGTTCTCCCAGAAGTGGGTAAAATTTCTTCCCTGATATGGCCCCAAAACAATTCTCAGGCCACTAGCCACGCATTCTTTGTTCAGAACAAGAATAGCCTAGTTTCCTGGCAAAAATTATGGATTTTATGGCCTTTGTCCCTTCAAAGCAAAATAGAATCCACAGTGAAACAGGACTGTGAAGTTATAAAGGAATGGGGTAGAAAGAGGGTTCTTCATTCTTAGGCTGATTCCTATTCCTGGACATGGTTCTTGAGATCCAATTGTCAAGTTTACTGCTCAGCCAGGGATTGGGTAGTAAAACTCTCCACAGAACACCTGTTGACCTAAGGAGTTAAGGTGTCAGGTTTTCTACATGTTGGCACATCTCTTGCTTCCTGTGAATGTTTTTCTTTTATGTATATCCTGGTGGCGATTGAGGGCAGAGTTCTTAGTGAAGCCTTTCTCATACTGAACGTACTTGTATGGATTTTCTACAGTGTGGGTTTTCTGGTGGGCACTGAAATGGGAGCTGTTGTTGAAGCTTTGCCCACATTGGGCACACTTGTATGGGCTTTCCCTGTTGTGGACTCACCAGTGAGTACTAAACTAGGAACTGTTGTTGAAACTCTTCCCACAGACAGTACACTGATAAGACTTCTC